ACAGGTCAGGAAAAAAGGAATCTTTTGCCAAATGCTGTATTCCAATTTTGTTTAGGGAGACACTTTTGCCATAACTGTATCCACTTTTCTGATTGTTTGCTGTCTTTATTGACATAACATTTAAAATGTACTTGACAGCAAGAAAAAAGGCACCGGAACATAGAGAAATCAATTGAAAGCCAAAGAAAAAAAGAAGAGGTTAATATTTAACATTCACAAAGTTTGGAGTTATCTTCTACCTTCTCCCACTCTTCCTTCAGAATTTCCTGCCTGCAGCCCGCCCTCCAGTACAGCCTGAGAATTCTTTCTGAAAACTGATGGTCAGATGGTCCTGCGAGGGAATTTTCAGCGGCTCCCTATTGACTGGACTCTGCGCCCCCAGCGTCAGCCTGTGGTCTGCACCCACCTCTTTCTCCATACCCCACGCTGCGTCCAGGGGTCCTCACTTTTCAAATACTGGTGCTCTCACCTGTGTGACGTCTCTATGAAGCTGATCCACCTTCACTTAGTCTCCACTCTTCATGGAGAGCACACCTCTCTAACACTTCTTAGATACTCCACATCCTGGACCTCACACAGAAATTAATCTTCCAATCAGCCTTGCCATTTTCTCTCTTTGATGCTGTTTTATGAAAGGCTGTATTGGTTTTCAGAGTACAGTGTTTGAAGCTGCCACCTATGCTACCGTGCAGGCCCCTGGAGGGCAAGTTTATTCATTTTGGAAGAAATTTGAAGCCACTGAAGTGCTCTGCACAAACATTTGCTTAATTGAATTTAGTTTAGCAGGAAAAGTCAACATCTATTCTTAAACTCAGCCCACACCAGGCTGAGCGTGTTATTTGTGAATCCATACGCCAGGATCATTTCCTCCAAAGTGCAGTATTTCTGCCCTTCAGAAAGATGAATTTTACTAGGAGAGGAGCAGGTTTTATTAAACTTTCATAATTTGGACATCGTTTTCCAGGCAGTCCTAAAGCATATCACACTTTATCTGGGAGAAATTCAGTTAGCAAAAGCAGTTGGCAAGGGCAAGTATTGGCTTTGCGAGTTTTTCTTGCTTATGAACTTATTTGAATTGCTTAGTTTTTCTTTCCTAGCTTTGATACAGGTGGACCTTGCATATTTTGCTGGGTACACAGTGTCATCTTGTGGCCAGAGAGCATATAACACCCACTCCAATGCTCCACGGTTTTGGGAAGTGCAGAGGTTTAGGTACCTGTGCTTCTGCTGTTCCATTTATTTCTGTCATTCAGAGGATCTGCATGTGGAGGAACATGAACTATAACAGGTCAATGTTCACATAGCTTATGGGTAAAACAACTCAACTTGGGCTTCAGGTAGCAGGAGTATATTTAGAAGATGTTATGATTGTATTTTGTGCATGTCCCCAATTTTCCACAGCACTACCCCCAAGGGCTACCTGCAATTCACTTCCCCCTATGGTGTGGTATTGAACGTGGTATAAATTTGAATCTTGCATAGACTATGGTGTTTTTCCTGAAAATAAAATTCAGGTAAAACTGGGGTGACTGACATGCCTCAGGTTGCTCCCGCAGGGTCCAACTCAAGAGGATCGTGACACCAAACTTCCCACTAGAAGACGGTGAAAGCAGCAGATGAGGGGAAGCTGGGCGCCCAGCCTTGGGTGAAAGGACAGGATAATAAAACAAGTGAGCAGTCCCCAGGCCCACGATTCAGGGGCCACGCCACCAGCTGCGCTTTTCTTCGGTCACCTTGGAGATTCCTCTCAAGTCTCATTGGAGCTACAGACTCCTCATTCAGGCTGCTTCCAACTCAGGCTTAAATGCTGTTACTGTGACAAGTAATGTGTATTGTTAATTAACCAAATAGTTGGACAAAGAAATTCATGACTTTCACGGGGAAAAAAGTAGTACACATTTTCAAGCTCAGTCTGTTTGTGTACTAGGTATTATTATGGGGTAAGCTGTTTCTTCAAAGTTACGGGTTGAAATGCTAACCACCGAGTACTTCAGAATCTGATTATATTTGGAGCTAAGTTCTTTATGGAGGTAATTAAGTTAAAATGAGGATGTTGGGATGGAGGAGGAAGTTGGGCACAGACAACCCGAGCAGGAAGGCCGTGTGAAGGTACTGGGGGAAGAGGGCCATCTCCAAGCCAGGCAGAGGCCTCAGAAGAAACCAGCTCTGTCCACGCCTTACACTTGAAATTCTAGCTTCCAGAATCGTAAGGAAGTAAATGTCTTGTTTGACCCACCCAGTCAGCGACACTTTGTATGGCAGCCAGAGCATATTAACACGGCGGGATTGTTTTAAATTATTTTATTTTTGAGTTTAGAGAGAGGGAAATGCAGGGAGAAAAAGAGGGAGAAAATCATCGTTTGGTTGCCTTTCGTAGGTGCAGGGACCGAAGCTGCAACGCAGGCATGTGCCCTGACCAGGGACCTAACCTGAGACCTTTTGGTTTGCGAGACAATGCCCAACCAGCTGAGCCATAACAACCAGGGCTTAATACAGTGTGGTTTTTTAGAAGGGGAGTTCTCATGATTTGTAAAAACGATTCATTATTTAGAAGCGGAATGCTGGTGTCAGTGATGGTCCAGGGGAAGCAGCTGGAGGTGAGGAGTTTAGGGGATCATTTATAAAAGCTGAGCTCAAGGCGGGGTCCTGGTCCTAGACTCAGGCTGGCAGCAGTCGGGGGAGGGGCAGCCACCACCAATGGGGCTCCAGGAGCACGGACAGCGAGGAAGGAGGTCCTGGACCTTAGAAAGGGAGCTGCTGTTTAGGGAGAAGAACTACCTGACCTGATTTGTCGCCTTCTCACCAGTCTCCAGCCAATGCCTCCCACTGGCCAAGCCCGACTAGAGGCTCAAGGGCTCTGACACCTGTTGAAGCATCCGGTGAAGGACTAGCTCCTGGGGCTTGGAATGGGGTGCAAAGGCATGGAGAGTGGATAAGAGGAGGCACATGGGAAATCTGGGGCCCAGGGCCTATCTGGATTTTTGGCCGAGGTCCACATTCCTCATCTCATATCTCAACTTGGCTCCTGGGTTGGTGGGGGATCTGTTATCTGTGGACCAATGAGTCCACTTAGACTCACAACTGGACTGATACAGGTTTCAGAATATTCATGCCAATGACGCACTAAACCCAGTGGGTGCGTGGGTGGGAGTCTGCTGGAAGGTGTGGGGGAAGGGAGGTGACGCTGGAGGGCCGCTCCATTAGAACCTAAGTGTGAAGATCAGGGACCTGAAGACAGCAAAATACATGAAGAAGACGTTCAGCATTTATGTGCATTTTTGGTGAAGTAGTAGAATAGGTAAAGGTAGGCTGCGATATTAAAGATGCATAATATAATTTCTACAGCTACGTTGCCAAAAAGGAATCTTTCCATAGTGGCGGAAATGGCCCGTATTTGTGCTGTCCAGTGGGCCGGCACTGACCACCTAGAGCGTAGCCTAGAGCCGTGGTTTTCAACCGGGTGCTGCGGGAACTTCTACAGCGTGCGACGCCTCACTGCTTAGTCAGGGACACTGACCTCTTTCCCCTCAGACTGTCGAATACAGAAATGACAACAGCCAGCACAACAGCTGTCAGTGCGAACAAATCCAAGTTATACCTGTTTTTTGTCAGATGGGCAAAAATGTATTTTTTGGTGTGCTACAGAATTTTAATACTTAGTTTGCATGTGATGTGGGATGAAAAAAGTTGAAAATCACTGCCACAGAGTGTAAGAATAAATCTAAAATAGAAAAAAAAATTTTTCCTGGTAAAAAATAATTTCCTTCCCCTCTCCCATCTTGAGTGTTTTCTTAAAAAAACAAAACCAGAAAACTTGTCATTGTTCTTTCTTTCTCTGCCTCTTTCACATGATACATCTTTTTAAAACTGCCAGCTTTATAAGATGGAATGTCTTTCTCAAGGCCCTGAGGCTCATCTCTTCAGACATCATGAGAGATCACACTCCTCTCTCCCCTCCATGGCTGCCTGGACCCAAGCTGTGGCCAGCCGCCTGTCATGGACGTACCGGAAGTTTCATGATCTCTTCAGATAAAGGCAGTCAGCACACAGAATGATCTCTGCAATTACCAGGTGAACTTAAGACGAGCTGTGGTACTAGCAAGTCTTGTCTGAGGACAGGTTCTTACGTATCTTGTGGTGAACAGGTACGTAATGGCTGTATCTACCTGGCCATACAAAAATGTGAGATTTTTATCTTTGCCATTTCTGTGTGAGGTGTCTGTGATGCACGTTATCATTCTGGTTTAATGTTTATTCAATAATAAAATTGTTTGTTTTCTCTTCTACTTTTGGGTAGTCTTTCTATGTGGGCAGGAGAGATCTTGTTCTTGATTACATTTCCGTAACAAGAACAACCAGTTAAAGAATAAACACAAGGAGGTAGAGTTAAAAGGTCTGGAGAGGAGCTGCAGTAGAATCCTAGAAGACACAACACAGAGGAAGGCAGGAAGGGAGCAGAGAAGCAAACGAACGGATGGGATCAAGAGAAAACAAAGACCAAGATGGCAGGCTTGAACTCGCCCCTAGGAATAGCTGCTGTTAAGTAAATGAAAACCTCCTATGAAATATCAGAGATTGTTATAGTGGACGAGAAAGCAAGACCTATCTAAAAATTTACAAGGAACACATTCCAAAGGCATAGACAGGTAGAGAGTAAGAAGATCAAAGATACACAAACACTAGGCATAAGAAAGCTGGTGTGGTGATACTCATTTCAACACTGAGAACGTAACCAGAGAGAGACAGAGACGTTACCCAATGAAATAAGGGTCAATTCTGGGGGAAAGGCACAATAATCCTACGCGTGTTAGTGCCTAATAACACAGGGATAGCATGTTTCAAAACATTTAATGGAGCAATGGGCAAAGCCACAGTCAGTTGGAGATTTTAACATCCCTCTTTAATAAAAAAAAAAAAAGTAGAGAAAACAATTAGTAATGACAGAGAGGATTTGAACTACACTTAATGAGACCAAGAAATTTTGATATGTTGAAGAGTTAATAATCTGAAAGTTATCTGAAATACATGATTTCCAGGCGATACTTGATAAGCAGTATTTTCTTGTATAAAGTTTGATGTAGCAATGATGGAGATATAGTCGGCAGATTCATGAAATCAACCAAAAGTTGCCCCCGTGTGCCACCTGGGGAATGAGCCCTGGGGTCGCAGGAGTGTAACACCATCTTCACGCCACAGGGTGTCTCGGTGTGCCAGTGTCCACAGTATTTATTAACATGACATCATAGTACAGGCAGGAACTTTGATCTTTCCCCCTGTAAACTATGACAAGCAGCTAAAACAGCCCTTCAATGTTGGTTCAATTTCATGATTTTCTCTCTTTGGATCAGACGTGTAAGATTTCTGCAGCCGATGCGACAGGTACCTCCTGTGTTGTTCTGGGCAGGAAGCCAACTTCAGTCCCTTAAGAACAAGGTTGCCAGACTCGGCAAACAGAAATAGAGCGCCCAGTTAAATCTGAATTTCAGGTAACAGATAATTCTTTACTAAGGGACATACTTACACTATAAAAACATAATATTGATCTGAAATTCAGATTTAACTGGGCCTTCTTATCTTCTATCCTACTTAGGAAGGAGAATGTGCTCTTCCAAGGGGCTGGCTGAGCTGGTGTCAGCAGCTCTAATTAAAACACCAAAGTCCACCAGGCACCTGCCCTCAGGGCGCCAGCTCGGCTCTCAACCACCAGCTACATTCTTTGTGAAACAGGACAGAGCAATAAAAAGATCCGGGCAAAGAGTTGCTCTAAAGAGCATGTTTTTTTTAATTTAAATATTTTGATGATACACATACAAATATAGTTTTTCCAGGGATAAATGTAAAAGCTAATATAAATCACCTATTGGGAACAAAGAACCATTAAGAAAATGTGATTTCACTAGACACATTTGCTAGGCTAGCGTTTTTGGACCGCTCCCGCAAGTTTAAGACCACGTTTTGTTCGAAGTACTCAGGCCATTTTTACGTTTCACACGGCAGTGACTCTCCCGTTGCGTACTTGCAAAGTGCAACTACTAAGTCTACATTGAAAAAAAAGTAACACCACCTACTAAGTAGAGAGCACAAAATTCAGAGGGAAGAAGGACCTTCGCTTTGGCCATTGACTTATGATATCTAAAGATATTTATCTTCTATTCACAGACAGTCTGTGGGAGCAAAAAGTATCAATATTTTACATTACACAATGAGTCAACAATATTTCTATAAATGTGCTATAAAAATAAATTTTTAAAGATTTCATTCTCAAAGCAGAATATTTTGAAAACCCACAAAATTACACAGTATTTGAAATGTAGGAAAACTATTTTTGTTGTGAAGAGTATTTATATAAATTGTTACTCAGAGGCACATATACTTTGCAACTTGGAATAACTTCTTCTTTCAAGGAGCAATAGAAATACAATCTATTTATTTGGTCAAAATACCCAAATCACTTTTCAAAAAGGGCCAAGGACGACATACAAATTCATATCAATTACATATTTGATGTGTTGAGTTTGAGACAGAGAGTAAAATCTTAATTTCAAACTCATCACTATAGAAGTGAGAAGGTCTTTCCATGTTTTGAAATTACAGATTAAAGAGAGTGGCTTCTATCATCCAGTTTCATTCTACAGCTGTTGCTTTGGCGTCCATGTTAGACACTGAGGATAAACAAAAGCGTTGAAATAAGCACGGTTCTTCTCACAGTGTAAATGGTCTAGTGGTTAGTTCAGCTGTGCAAAATTAGAATAGAATATATCCTGAGGTTTTATAAATAGTATATTACTACTATAAAAAGTAAAGTGATCTTGTATTTATGAATTTTCCCCTGGATTATTCAGCTGAATTGGAGGTATTCACTATTTTCATTATTGAGGGACAAAGGGAAGACACAATGTTATTTTTAAGGTCACACAACACAAAGTTACATGCACAGAAACATGTGTTTTTACCATGTCAATGTTCCAAAATTCTATCACTGTGACACTGACCGAAAGGCCTCTGTTCTTGAGGAAAACAAGCACAACGGTCACCCAAACTGTGCATTTGTCTTTGGGTAAATGAGTGTTTGACAGCTGCTGGGGCGGGAAGAATGGCTATAGAGGAGCAACGTGAAATGTGGGCACAGTGTGCAGCAGCCCCGTTGGCTCATGATTGCTCTACGGTGCGGCTGAGGAACCGGACGCTCCGTGTTATTCTGGGATATTCTTAGATGCCAGGTTTACTCTCTGTTGAACTTGCTTTGTGAATATTGTTTGGCCACAACTCACTGAAAGGCACTTAAGACACACTGTCATGGTTACACCCTTGGGACGTCCAAGGGCATTTCTGAAGGTCTCTCCTGGACGCTAAGAGAGCAAGGTCCATGGTCTGAAAGTGACTGAGGTTTTACTTTGGTGGAGGTACCTCTTATGTCTGTGAGCCGCAAGGAAAGGCAGGCCCATTGAAAACAGGAACTCACTCATTGCTCGTTCAGCTCTGGGTCCGACGGCGGCTGACCGTTCAGGAGAAAGAACGCTGCACTGTGCTGTGCTTGGAGACTCTGGTGGACGCCGTGGTTACAGTAGAGCTAGAATGCCCAGACTCCTTGAAACCGAAATTTGGGAGAGGGCCAGGGACTCCAGCTCCAGAAACCACGGTCTTTCCGGCTGTCATGGAGGTTTCAGCCGCAGCCGGGTAACTGGACTGCAGGGTGGAAGCGGGTGTTAGCACTCTTTCCACCACCGTCACGTTCTGCCCTGCTGCCGCACTGGGCGTGGCCAGAGTGGGCTGCACACCTGAGCTGGCAGTAAGGAAGCTCTCTCTCTCCCTGACCACAACATAAGGCCCATCCGGCAGGTACGGAGTGCCTTCCAGAAGACCAGGCAGGCCCCTGTTGGGCTGCATAACCCTCTCAGTCACCATGACATTACCCTCATTAGCATAACGCTGGTCTACCGTGGTAGCAGCTGGGGCGTACACTCGCTCCGTCACAATAAGGCCCTTCGGCTGTCTGGGGCCCAGGATCACAGTGCTTGGTGGTGAAACAGTGGAGCCTGTGGCAAAGGTTTCTGTCACTGTGACACTACCAGAAGCCAATGAATTAGGGAGAGGTGTAGCTACCTTTTGATCCTGCTTAGAAGACACAGACTTTTTGGTGGCTATTTCCTGCGTTATTTGCTCTGCATTTGCTTCATGCAAATGTTTTGAAACTTGAAAGCTACTTCCAGAGGAATAGACATTCTCTGAGTTAACCCTTGTTTGCTCAGAGAGTGAATGAGAAGCTGTTTCTCTCTCAGGGATTGGCCTCTGCTCAATTTCCATATCCATATCTATTTTTTGACCTAAGCAAACTTCAGCTAGTGTCTTGAACTTAAATCCTAAATCATTCAAGAAATGGTCATCTAGCTCTCCTTCGATGAAACTGCAACAACCAATGGAACCATGTAGAGACTCAGTTTCTTCCTGAGAATAGACCAGAAGGCAATCTTTGGCTGTGTGATTGTCATCTTCCTCAGTACAACGGGCAGCTTTCTAAAATGTCAATAAAAACAGAGGTATATGATTAGTGACACAACTTCACTGAAGAACAAGACTATATTCCTTCCTGAAATGCACAGCCTGAGTCTAAATGCAGGGAGACGACAGAGAAACCCACACTCAAGGGCATTCTACAGCACAGCTGGCCAGCAGCCTGAAAAATATTAATATTGTGAAAGATAACAAAGGCAGAGAGGGGGCAGATCCAGATGAAAGGAGATTAAAATGCCAGGACAACTAAATGAAGTGCAGGATGCTGGTCTGGACCCTGGGCAGGAAAAACAATCCCTACGTAAGACATCATTGTGGACGACTGGGTACCTTCCAGTTTGTAGGTGTCACTGCTACGCCTCTGAGTCTGCTCACCGCACTGTGTAGTCGGAGAGGGAGAGAACTGCAATGCGAGTGCCCGCGTGCGTGTGTGAGACAGCAGACAGGGTGGGACGACGTGGCTCTAGGGGCTAACGTTTGTGTCATCTGGGTAAACAGTATACAGGAGTTCAAAATTTCTCTTCTTGCCTATTTTCTGAACGTTTGAAATGCTTTCTGAATTAAAAGCTGCACATGCATATGTAACCAAGGCTGCCAGGAGCAGGACTGGAGCAGAGAAGAAAAATGTACCAACACACAACAAATAGGGGACCAGAATGGAGCTGCGCAGTGAAACAGAGAGGGGACACTACGTGGTTTCCCCGACACTGACATATCCCTTTCTCCCGGTCAAGTTAATACTTAGGGGCAGGCAGATGACGCGGAAGAGAGGGACGTGGAAGGAAAGAGAAAATGGGAAAGCGCTCCAGTAAGGTGTCACCATTTATGGGAGAGAGGACAGAAATAGATTGGCCTCCGTGGAAGCCCAACACCTTACTTCTCTCAAGTGTCCTCCAGATGCGTGTCACTCTGACTCTGCCCATGGGACACACGGGCTTCGTTCTCGAGAAAGGCACCCAGTCCTGCTTCTAATTCCTAATTCTGGAAGTGAGTTTCCAGGCTGTAACCAATCCTTTTGCCTGCCACTTTCTTCCTAATTTTTTGTGAACCGCCTCCATAGTGAAGCCAAGGGCTCTCATTCAGAAGACAACACTTAAGTGGACATCACAGATTGTGTTTTTCAGGTCTCATATTTAAAGCCTGGGGAGAGATTACACTTTCTGCCCCACTGCCATCTGGCTTGGTCATGTGACTTGCTCTGGCCAATGAAATCTGAGTGCCAAAAAGGCAGCAGCTTTAGGAGCCACTGTAAGATTCTGCGTTGCTATGTTCCCTCTGCCCCAAGGATGGCAGCTTCCCAGGTACAATCTGCTCTCTCTGCATCTTGGAATGAAGAGCAGAAATGCACTTGGTGGCAAAAAGATGAATGTGAAAAAAGCCATTGTGAGAAGTCAGATTGTGGGGTCATTTGTCATCATCACGTAATTTAGCTGACTGGTTCAGCGGGTCATAGCTCTCTTTCCTCATTACCTGTAAGAATTCATAAACATAAACAAACAAAAAAACCACCAAAGTCCCATCCAGATCTGAGGCAATGATCAGCCTAATAGTACCACATTCATGTATAAATGTTTTTTTCCCTTGTACCTAAAAACCAACGCTTACCTCAGTGAAATAACTTCGTAAGAATTCCTCGTTCGCTGCAGTAGCAGCTGCTCGAACTCCAGCCAAGTCTCTGAAAGCCCCCGTGGCTCTTGTGGTCCTTATGGTTTCACCACCTACGACGGCTCCTGCTGTCCCTGTCACCTGGGTGGCACCCCCAGAAAGGTGGCTTTGGTGTTCTTCCCACCTCCCGTCCACCTCGGACATGTCATGCTGCACTCTGGTAAAGGAAGCCGAGCTGCTCCCTTTCACAGTGGACTCCTTGACTGCTACAGCCCCTACTCCAACTCCTGCGCCACTGCCCACTACACTCTCTCTGTGATCCGCCGTCAGAAGCGATGGCACCACCTGTGAGGGCAAATACAATTGAGAACTGAGCTGGAAAAATGAAGGGTCAGCACGGTTGGTAGGATCTGAGCTAAGTGGGCATACAGTGGGAATAAGCTATTTCCTCAGAAGCAAATTAGGAAAATTACTTTGGGTGGACTGACTTCTGTTTGAGTCTTCTGAAGAGCCATTCTATCTTCCTGTTTTATTAGATGATTATCATCCAAAAGGAAAACAAGTTATTTAAATATAGACTTGGCCCATTTATTCTATTGGCACCAATTGTATTTCAACTTTCCTCTGAAGTTTAATGCCTTCTTTATGGTTATACAACTGCTATTTTTTTGTGTAGCTGGACAAATGGTCATCCTAAATATAAACTATACTTTTAAGCCTCTATTGCCACTAGAAATTGCCATGCAAGTTCTGGTTAGTGTGGGTTCAAGCAGAGCAGAATGGAGAATGCATGTTTTGGGAAGTGTTCTTCAAGAGCGGTTCTTCACTTTTCTCTTATTGGCTTTTCGAATATGGGCACAGCAGCCAGTGTCTGTCTGGAGCAGGAAGACAGCAGAGAATGGAATTCACCCATGGAGGAACAATGAGAAAAAGAAGCCTACAACCATATGAAATCATCATGATGGTCTTGGACCACCCGTTAATGTATTTAAGCCACTGGTATTCTGAGTTCTCTGACACTTGATGCTGATCACGTCGTATTAGATATGACGCTCACTGAAGATGGTGATGAGAGACCCAGGGTGAGGATGCAGTAAAGAAACAGTGGGAGGTGGTTGTCACGCAGGCAGAACAGGGGGGTTTGCGATCTTTTACGACCGTTATGGATTGGTGGGCTTACCTCTGCCAACCCTATGTATTAAGGGAAGTGACAATGCAGAAGCACCTGGTTTTGAAATACTGTTAGTAATAAATATGTTCATCCTAAATCTCTCCACACTCTTGCTCTCTCTAACCTTTGCTCTGCATTCTCTGCAACACCAGGCCTGTCACAGAACAGCAGCACCACCTCAACTCTGCCCTGGCAACAAGCACAAAATAGGTTTTATTCAAAGGCATGTGAATGAAATCTGTAAGGCCCACTTTACTCTCTTATGACCTGAAATGTTACAAACACTTCCCAAGGCCCCTTTAAAAGAAGAAAAGGAGACAACTTCCATTGATATTGGATTATCTGACCTTGTCTTCAGGTGGTGCCCCTTCATTATTCCAAGGATGCAGCATCTCTATGGTGCCAGGAATGGGGGCAAAGCCTTTGGCGCTCTCTCCACAGTGGCACATCAGCAAAAGAAGGGGTACAACTGGAAGAAAACAAAATTAAACACAAATAAAAGGTGAGTCCTGAACTTTTAAAAAATTTATGTTATATAATTTTGGAATTGGCATATCACTTCCTAAAGTTCAGTCTTTACTTATTACAGCACTACTTCTATTTTTCTCTTCTTCACCCCGAGCCAACCTCACCTGCTTGTCTGGGGAGAGCCACACCAAAGTGGACAGGCAGGATGAGGGGGTCGAGCAGGTTCAGAGGCCTCGACCCTCATTAAGAAACTGAGCGTGGGTACTGGGTGGGACACCAAGACTGTACTCCATGGTATCCAAATCAAAGAAACCAACTTAAAGATGAACTTTTTTGGTTTTTTAAACCACTTGAATTTTAAATATGAGAATATTCACTATCCAAAAAAATATATCTATGTGTTAAAAAAATCAAAAGCTCCTCAGGGTAGAAACATTTTCATATGTTCAAGTGCAATGGAACTTGTATTCTTCACCAGTTCATCCTACAGTAGATTTTGGCAAAAGGAAGACTCACTGAGGTTTAAGTCAACTAATTGCTAAAACGATTCTACACTAAAACCCTGAGAACAGATCTAGAGTCAATCCAATCTCAGAGCTCCGTCCTCAAATTCGATTCTACCTCCAGGAGGAAGTGAAGGCCAGTGTTGGCCTCTTGACCCGGGTAGTAAAGAATAAACCACACCCCGCAAGCAGTGCACCGCAAATCACACCAGGTTTTATTGCCACTCCCATTTGTCATCTTCCAATGACAAAGTGACTACTCTCTAGACTCTTTTTACGCACAACAGTTGACAACCCTGTCATAGCTACTGTAATAAAAAGACTGAAATCAGCTCGTGGCAATCCAATATTTATACAAATTCAACAAATTTTTATTGAGTGTGTACCATGTGACAAATACCCAGAAGGCCCTGGGGAATGTGCGATGAGGAGGTGGTGCCAGGAATCCCCACATAAAAGATGCAGCCCCAGCTCCTGGACCTCCCTACAAACCTGGGAAGCTGAGACAAGTCGTTTTCTGTGCCTGCATCATAAAGTAGAAATATGGTATAAAAGTACATTGCAAACTGTTGAGTGCTGTGCATTCAACTACACATCTACTGATGAATTTTAGCAGCTCTTCCTCGTCACAGAGAGCTGGGACTGCCTCGAAGATGGTCGTCTGCCCATGCTCGGTGGTCAAGTGGAGTGCTGGCCACGTGACCCCAAGCTGCAGTCCTGTGTTCTTTCATGAAAGGAAACCCGAGGTCTTTGGAGGGCATGCAGGGCAGGCAGGACGGGCTGTCACTGTCAGAGGGCATGGACGCACTCAGAGGTGTCACTACTGTTGGCTCAGGTGAAGGGCAAGCCCAACAGAGTGTATAGGGTCGGCGGGAGGGTGGTTCTGAGAAGTTGAATGTGCAAAGCAAAGATCAAGGAACATAAAATGAGTTTATAAAATAACTTTGTGTCCATAATCCAAATCTATGCAGCAAACCAGGTCTGAGCACCTCCTGTGGGCAAGGCCTGTTCTAGGCACTGGGCACTAGAGACAACATCCCTCCTTTGCAGAGATTATCAAAATGCGGACACTGATTAAGTGAAGTCAGTCCGTCAGAGAAAGACAAGAACCACATGATTTCATTTATATGTGGAATCTAAAGAAAACTATAAATGAATAAACAAAACAGAAATGGACTCACAGATCGAGAGAACAGGCTCACGGGGAGGAAGGCTGGGGGGATGGGTGAAGAAGGGGCGAGGACTGAGAAGTACAGATCGGGAGTCACAGAATAGTCACAGAATAGTGATGGAACAGTCACTAGTACATTACATTACTCCTGTGTAATGTACAGCACAGGAAACAGAGTCAATAATATTGTAATAACTATACTCGGTGCCGGGGGGGTGCTGGAAATATCAGGGGGAACACTTTGTAATGTATATGATTGTCTAACCACCGTGCTGTCCACCTTAAACACAAAATATTATTGAATGTAGACTGTAACTTAAAAAGTTTTTTTAAATTAAAAAAAAATTAAGTCCTGGCTGGGTAGCTAGCTCAGTTGGTTAGAGAATTATCCTGATATGCCAATGTTACAGGTTCAATCTCCGGTCAAGGCACATACAAGAAGAAATCAATGAATACATAAACAAATAAGTAGAACAGCAAACTGATGTTTCTCTTTCCTTCTCACTCTCAAAATTAATCAATGAAAAGAAAAAAAATGGGGACACCAACAAGATCTGTTAAAAGGTGGCTGGAGATCATGCATGATAACCTTGGTTATTTAAATCAGGACATAACACATTTTTATAACAAAGTTCTGAGGAGTGCTATTTATAACCACCTTCGGTGAATTTATCCACGACCAGTTCTTGTTTCCCTCCTCACCCTCAAGTGTTCCAGTGGGGTGAGCAGTAACTGTAAAGAAATCAGTGATTGCTATGGGAACTAAACATCAGTCGTGCCCTTAATTACTAAAAGAGCCAAAGACTGGCTTTAAAAACACTTACGTAGTAAGAGCAGAATAGCAAAAATGATCAGGGCGACCGCTGCAGGCCCCAGGCCAACGTAGCCCTCACGCAGCGCCTCCACACAGCCACTGCCGTCCAGGCACTCGCAAACTGTGAGCTTTAGGGTCTGCGCTTCAGGGCAACTGAAACCCTGATTATCGGAAATCAGGAACTGAATTTCACTTCTCCCAAGTTTTCGTTCTCTTTGTTGTAGCAACACACTGGAACCTGCAGTGGTAAGAGGCAAAGAAAAATGAGCGATTACCAAGGCAGAGGCAAGATTAAATTATAGAAACATTCTTTCATGGCTCATAATAATGAGCTCCAGGTAGAAGCTTTATTCTTTCTTAACTGCTCTCTTGCTTCCTTTTTTTTTTGCATGGCACAATGAATTTAATGTCTCCCCTGCAGGGAAGGTTAAACTACCCATTTTTGGAGACACCTCAAAGGTAGTCTGGCATTTTGGTATGGAAAAGATTTGGTCTGTTCTCTCGCTGGCTCGGGACGCCAAAAGGCACCTAAAGTTGGTTCGGCTGCACTGGGCCTAGGCAGGAGGTGAACAGGGCGGTGGTCTGGGAGAGACGGGTGGCCCGAGGCTCAGGCTGAGTAGAGGCCGCGGTGGGCTTCGTCTGCCCAGTCCACCAGCTCACTGCTCTGGAACCACAGCCGGGCTCCCTCCACGGAGCTGCTGGCAGGGATGCTGTTCCTACTGATGTGGAAGCTGAAGTCTCCTCGAATGGTGCTTGTTACAGCCTCAGTTGAGTCAGTGGGTCCTACCCGGCACTAGAGGTGCATGCAGACCACATTAGGGCCTTCCCAGACCTAAAGTGTCTTCATCCCTGTCAGCTTGAAGCTCCTCCTCTCAGATTGCCAGACCACATCCCCAACAAGCTGCCATTGCACCCTGTCTCACTTCACGGCCACCAGGGTCCACTTCCAGCCCAGGAGGGCCCTCTGGACCTGGGGTGCATGAGCAGGCAAGAAACTGGGGCCTGTGGGTCACACAACAACCCCTGCAGCGAGCGCCAAGGTGAAAGGCTGCTCCTGGCGCCCAGCCAGCCCACAGGCACTGGTTGAACGCTGCTTAACTGCTCTGTTGAATTCATTCCTGTGCCGGCTAAAACTGATCCAGACACTCCGAACGTGCGGGTCAATATCAAAGGGTAGGATTTGGACATGCCTTACTTTGACCATGATTAATCTTAACAAATGTGAGTGGTTTGCCAAATGCTAGGAATTGTTTTATGTACTGGGAATACAGCGACAAACAAGTGGCAAGTTAAACGACATTCCACTGAATGATCTTTATTTTATCAGTCCTTAAAAAATTTATTAAGGCAATTTAAAGTGACAACAATAGAGAGAAGAACATAATTAATCCCCATGGTACCCATCACCAACTTTAACATTATTAAAAGCCACTTAAAGTGATTGCAAAAATTTGTTAGACTTAAAACAACAATAAAACCATAAATTAAGAAAAACTTTGAACAAAAAGAAAAGCTTCTGTATTATATGTGAGACTTTTCAGAAGTGAACACTAATTGTTTAGAAAAAGCAGCTTTCTGAATAGGTTTTCGTACATTCAAAACCACCCCGAAGGGCACCCAAAGGCTTGCATCAAGAAGGCAGGCACGTCAGTGATACGGGTATCTGCACAGCGCCATCTGGCATGGAGGGGTCAGGCAGACCCTTCTTAATGCTGTGTCTGTCACTCACCAGCCCATGCCCCTGAACTAGCTATTTAGCCCTAGTTGAGTCAAGGTTTCCTCAGCGATAATGAGGGAATGATGTTATGGAGAAAGGATTAAATGAATAATGAATATGAAGGGCCAGCAGAGGGCCTGGTACATACATGATAAGTGATCAATAAATGTCATGAAAATTTTTAAAGATTTTATTTATTTACTTTTAGAGAGAGGGAAAAGAGTTTTATTATTGTTATATTATTATTATATATTGTTATATATAAGGAATTTTATTATTATTACAAATAATACTTATTATTATTACTTATAATAATAAAGGCAGCGTCTTAGTGATAAGGATCACATTTCTCCCTACTTCTAGGTAGAGAAAAAGAGAGGGAGAGAAACATCAATATTTGAGAGATACAAACCATCAGTTGCCTTTCAACTGATTGCCTCTCACAAACCCCCAACTGGGGACCCAGTCGCGACCCAGGCATGTGCCCTGACTGGGAATCGAACTGGTGGCCTTTCGGTTCTCAGGCTGGGCACTCGGTCCACTGAACCACTAGCCAGGGCAATGAGTATCATTTTTCATGAAATTCTCACCATACTTCAAGATTTGTTTTAGAAGGGACCTAGTCTGATTGTTCGCCTGGACAGACAAGGTACTCAGCTTTTGAGACAAAAACCACATCTTCAAGAGCAATTTAGAAAATATCCAGCTATCTTTAAGACATTAGGTTGTTTTTCTTCTCTCTTTTGTTGTTCCAAATGGGCTATTTATGATAGCCAGGTAAAAGACGCTATGCCCGAGGTTCAAGTCCTCATTTTATAATCCCTCTGAAAAGCTGTATTGAAAATATAATATAAAAAAGAGTCTGTATTATAAAGATTTTAGATTTGTCCTGTTTAGTATTTAGATACGTAGTCCAACGACTTTGCTCACCTTCTCTGTGCACGATTTTCCATTCTTCTGCCATTCCAGCGGGGTGGTCAACGACAACGAAAGTCAGAGGGTCACTGTACGGGTAACCGTCCAGGTCCTTCGCGGTCACGTTCACGAACTGCTCGTCCTCGCAGACGTTCTGCACGGGGTTGACCAGTGTGGGGCAGTTGTCGTTGACGTCTTCAACTGTGATGATAACAGTGCCAGTGATGGTTTTTCTAGGAGAATCTTAGAGACAAGAAAGAAAAAATATGTATATTCTGGTTATATTGCTGGTAACAAACACAGTTTGAATTCTTCTGCCATTTGGGTGAAAAGGGCACTAACGAATTAGGACCCTTTCTATTCTAAACATGTTTTCATATTCAGGTCCAGCTCTTTGAATCCATTAAATAAGTAGAAATGGGAAGGTTTATCCACTGGACAGATTTGGTTTTCTGTAAGATCAAAAAGAAGGTCTCCAATGTTGGAAAATAACAGCCAAATACATACAGTCAAGAAAAATACCTATTTAATAACTTACCTTCTGAAATAGCCAAAACCTTCACAGTGTATGTACCATTTTGGACATATCTGGATTCAAAATCGGGAATTTTTACAAGTTTAATTTCAGATGTGACAGAATCCACGGAGACCCAATTGTCTCTATCTTCCAATTTGACATATCTGTTATAAAACATAAAATTAATTTTGAATTATGGATAGGGAAACTCTAGCATTTACAGCTCTTTCAAGGTTAATTTTTGCTTCATTGTATAAGTTCTTGTTACAAGTATTAGTTTGGAATGTTTTTAATTTCTTGAAACCAGCCTAAAAGTGCCTTTCTAGTGCATGTTGCTCTTATCTGGGAACTTTCTTAATCCTGTAACACACTCAAGACACAGGTGCAGGGGTGACCATCCCTCGCCTACCAAGCTAGGAGGGCTGGAAATTGCTCTGCAGCCTGTCTCACAGCTTTCAGTTTAGTCTCCCTTAAATTTGGGGTAAACCTGTGGAGAATAACTTAGTGACTCAACAAGACTCAGTGGATAAAAGCAGTCTTACATTCTACTGTTTATTGGCATGTTACCTATATTTTAAAACTCAATGGCTGCCTTGAAGGGGAAGTACTGTAACATTTTGGAATACTGTTAGTTATTAAGAGCAATCGGTTTCTTTCCATTAGAAATGGTTAAATGCAAAAACAATGCTGATGAAGTGATTTCTGGGTTTTCTGCCTCAAAGCAAGGAAAGTGATTTAGAAGGAGTTACGTTTGGGAAAGGTAAGAAGAATATCATGCCTTTAGAAATGTATGTAATTCAATACCAAGTTAAAATATGCAAATATAAACCAAACACATGAGCAATTGGTTCATTCAATCAGATTGATAATTTACTTTCTATTAAGTGGCTGTTCAGGCATATCAAGTGGCCAGTTTTTAGCAATATTTGCTTATAGTGCTATTTAAAAAATGCCACCTGTACACTTCAACTAAACTTTCTGCCCTTTAATACTTTAACCAGTAAGTGATAATACATTTGGATTTTCATGAGTGTTTCTGAATTTCATGTTTGGAATCGTAAAGCCTGGACTCTGTTGCCATCAGTGGTTCCCACATTTGTACTTATAATAATAATAATAAAGGCAGGGTCTTAGTGATAAGGGTCACATTTCATAGGTGGCCTCATTTAAGGAAGTTTCCGTTCTCTATGATAAAAATAAGACAGAATTCCAAGTTGCAAGGCAGCTCACGTTATGCCAAATACCTACAAACAATTGGTGCATAGGAATAATTGGTAAAATAGTCAGTTAAGGAAATAATTCTTCTGCTTTTCTCATCAGCATTTCTAAATACCAACCGCCAATTTGTTAGGGAAACATCAGAACATTATTTAACTTGGCCGTGCATCCCATTCCTTACATGTAACACAGCAGGTTTGAATTGACCTTTGAGACCCTTCTCATTCTCAAGTTCTGCAATGGCCTGGTAGAGAATAAAAGAACTAGAGAGATGTGGCTCATGATTTTTGCAGGCAGAACATAACTCGTGATATAGTCATCACTTTTAATAAAAACAGCATCCAAACTTAAATAGTTAGGTGGGAAACAAGTTTCAGTGAACAGCCACAGTATTACTGCAGGATAATTAATTAGAATGGATAAGCCTCGCAGTGGACGGCAGTGAGTAATAATCACCTGTGAGGAGTATCAGTGAGGGACTGCCTTGTTAGGGTAAGAGCCGTGGAAGTAAAAACTGGACGACTAAACGCAGAAGCAGCAGGTTGGTCGCTAAGACACTGCAGAAAACACAGTGGCAACTGTTTAATGTTACTTTGGGAAAAGGCTATTTGCTACTATTGGAAGATGAATTCCATTAAAAGCAGCCACTAAAAGGAAAGAGATTGTTGAAAAGCTTCTTCACGTTCACATTCCTATTCTTGCTACAGTCGACCACGATGTGAAGTGTTGGCACCCAGGGACACTGTGGTAAGTGTCCTTACCCAGGCATAAGCACAGATAAGCAACCAAACAACTCTGCGTCTGGGTGGCAGGCGAGGCTTCTTTAAATTCAGCCATAATCACTGTAACTGAGTTCCATAAATACTCGTTCTGTGGGTTGTCCTTCCATGGCATGCGTGGCTCTGTAATCTAAGATGCAAATTTACTTAGAAAATTTTAACTAAGGTGTCACTAGAGAGGGGGCACAGCCCAATCCCTTTCAGCACAGTGGTGGCATCTACTAGATCCTCAACACCTGTATCTGAGTACAGGTCACCACGACCCAGAGAAGCATAAAGGGTTCATCAGTCCCTGAACCAAATAGCATGGTTTAAATAAGGAGTTATTGTTGATATTTATGTACAAATGAAACTGGTTTCTCCATATTAAAACACGTTAGGCAAGTATTTCTTTTAACCAAACTGGTATCAAGTGGAACTTGCAATAAAATTTGCTACTTTCTTGAGTACTCTTTTAGGAAATGAAACAGATTTTAGAAAGTTTTTCATCCTTCGCTAGCCAGATCTTTTTGAGGTGAGGGACCCAGCCTCGCACTCAGGCTGTGGATGGAATGGGGTCTGGGGAAACCGGAATCTACAGACCTTTAGGGAAGTAGAATGCTGGGTGAGAAGAAGTGAAATGTTTACATTTCATTATGATTTTTTGAAAACAGGCATTTAAAGTAATTCAGAATGAGGAAATATGGCCATCACAGTTTCTTACTTTACATGGGCTAGTTTTCCAGTGTCTTCGTCAAAGGCTTGAAACTTTCCGATTATCATGCTTTGGCTTGATCTGTCCATGCTCTCGCTAGTACGAACTGAGATGGTGCTGCTTTTAAAACGGATGCCTTCTTTCACGTCCTTCACCTTGACTTTGATGGGAATGGGTGTCGGCTTGTATTTATTCTTAATGGATTTGTGAAAAGGTGCTTTATTTGTGACAATGAGGCTAAAGTCAAGATGCTTCATTTCTTCATAATCTAATTCCTAGGAAGGCAAAATCAAAGGGACCTCTTTCAAAAGAGAAAACAACTAGAACACACACACCTAGAACACGCACACATGCACACACTGTGCTGTTAACGTTAGATACAACCATGTAACAGATGGGGAACGGGGCAGCACCGAGTACTCCAACTCTCTGGTAACAATTACATGCCATTACAAGTCTGTCAGTTTGATATTTGTACCTGTTAAGGATGACTACGAAACATCCCAATTTATTTTTTAAAATGCCAAAACCACTGAAAAAAATTTATTTTAACAACTTGAAGTGATTTCTTTACTGGATGAAAACAAATTAACAGACATTTAATATAAGTTAATATTTCATAAAGTATCTCCTGGGTTTGTTCTGGTGAAAGGGCTACACAATAGTGGCGGCACCGTCAGCCCCGCCCCCGACACATTCACTGCACACCTGTTAGCACAGGAAGATATGGAGCCTCCCAGGAAGGGCAATGTTTACCTTTCTTAAACCCAGGGGCTTTCACTGTGTTTTAACAAAGAACCTACCCCCGCTCCTTTTGGCATAATGTCCATTAATATATGGTTTGCTGTTGTGCCATAAAAGATGGACCTCACTCCAAATACTGTTCTTCGTGAGTTGTGGTATAAAGTACATTTCATTCACTTTGTCACTGTATACAGATTTTATGTTATTTTCTTTTTAAAAATATCTCAATGGTTTTCTATTATTCAGATATACTTTACCTAGTCATTCTATTGTTAGGCATTCAGGCTATTTGCAATGTAATTTATAGTGCTCTGAACATTTTTACACAAATTATTTTTCCTCTGTTGAGCTATATTTTACTACTGAAAAAGTCAACATTTATTAAGCTCAGTTACTTTTTTACTTCTAGTAGCCCTGGCCATTTAGATGCACTGACTTGTTGCTGGTTTCTCTAGTACAACATTAACTACATTACATGAGTTTACATGAATTACAGTTCACCTTTGTTTTTGGATGATTATGAAATTTGTGTTCCTCTCAGTAGTGTTCCAGATGGGAAATAACTTCCCCTGCTCCCTCTTTTATATGGGTCACCATGGTATTGGGACAAGAACACAACAGAAAATGACTAATGAAAAGAAAACATGCTTTGTGATTGTAGAGTCTTTGTGAAAAAAATTTTTTTTAGGATGCTCTTGTACTTAGCATGCTTGTTTTGATGGCATCATGTATGATGGATGAGAATTAAATCTTCCAGACAAATGTCATTCGTATTCAAAGACCATGGAAGGCCAAGACAACCTTGAAATAAATGAGCCAGGTTTGGTGCCAACCAAAATCGTTTCACAGTTTTCTGTTCATAGCCATAATGATCCAACAGTGGGAAAATTTTCAGCATCGAGAGCAATGTATAAGGGCATACATTACTATTTTTATAACTGTCAACATATTTATCATTTCAATTTTGCCATTTTTAGCAGTATTGAAGATTTTAAACTCATTTGTTAACAAAGCTGAGACTGTTTTTATATGATTTACTGTCTTCATTTCCACAGCTTAAAGTATCTATTGTCCTTTACCTTTTTTCCCAATAGTTTTATCAAAGTATAATTTACCTTCAGTGAAATTTCTCCATGCAAAGTGTACAGCAAGGTGATTTCTAGTGACCTTATGTGGCTTTGCAAACATCACTACCTTCCAGTTTTAGACTATTTCCCTTCACCCCCAGAAGTTCCTTTGTGCCTTTTTGCAGTCAATCACCACTGACACCCTAAGCCCTCAGTAACCCCTGGTCTGCTTTCTATATCTACTGTTTTGCCTTTTCTAGAAATTTTGCATAAATGAAAGCACACAATAGATAGCATTTTGGCCTGGCTTCTTACACAAAATGTTTTAGTGGTCCATCCATGTTGTAGCATATATTAGTACTTCATTCCTTTTTATTGCTCAACAGTATTACATTTTGTGGATACACGACATTTTATCTACTTATCAGCTGATGCACATTGGATTGTCACCAGTTTTTAACTGTTACAAATAAGAGCTGCTATGGACATCTGCATACAAGCTTTTGTGTTATTTTTCTTGGGTGGATACTTAGTACTAAATCGTTTGGTCACTAACTACTTACTCTATGCTGAATATTTAAGAAAACTGCCACTCTAGCTGTACCATTGTATGTTTCCATGAGCAATACATAAGAATTCTAGTCTCTCCGTATCCTTGCTGATACTTCATGTTGTCAATTTTTTGATTAGAGCCATTCTAATAGGTGTGCTGTGGCATCTCCTGTAGTTGTAATTTTCACTTTTTCTAGTGACTAATCATGTTGGGTATCTTTTTAGATCTATATTAGCTCTTTGTGTATCTTTTTTTGTCTAACTTTTCAAAGGGACCTGATTATTGCCCTTATGATTTGGAAGAAATTTTTATATAATCGAGACAGTAAATTTGAAATTATCAATCTGTGGCTGCTGTTTTAATGCTAATTTTACTTAAAAAATTTTTTTTTGTTTTTGATTTTAAAGGGAGGGGAAGGAAGGGAGAAAGAGAAGGAGAGAAACACTGACTGGCTGCCTTCTGTATACATCCAACTGGGGACTGAACCTGCAAACCAGGCATGTGCCCTGACTGGGAATTGAACCTGCAATCTTTCGGTTTGTGGGCCCAACCAACTGAGTCACACCAGCCAAGGTCTTAATTTTACTGTTTTTTTTTGGGGGGGGTTGTTTGTCCACGTCCCCTTAGGTAGAAAAAACTATGCCCTTTTTTGGGCCACCCTGGTACACTGACAATACATCAACACTTCTATCTCTTCGCTAAGTGACTGTCTCTCCCTGTGTGTGTAATAAGCTTTTTCACTCAGGCATCTAGCACAGTGACACATGTACCTGACGACTGAAAGTGTGCTCACCTCCACGTGAGCAGATGGACCTGTTCCATCTCTGACGCCACTATCCATTTCTTTAGTAAGTACAACATGTGTCTTCCCTTTAAACACGAGGTGCTCTCACTGTGTTCCCTTGCTCTACTACCATGAAACTTGAAGTTATTTTTTCTCTTATACATTTATATCCTTATTCCTTTTGCTACCGTTAGATCTTTTCCTGCTCTGTCATTTATTAAGTTTTTGCAACAACTTGGAAACTTCGACAATTAATTTTTGTCTGTGTGTGATTCACGAAACATTAGTATTTTGAGAGCTATAGCTTTGTCTTTTATTCCAAAATCTGATAAAGCAATTCTGCCATAAACCATTTAAAAATACATTGATATTCTTCCTTACTCACTCTGATAGATAAAAAAAAATCTGTCCGGTAATTTTTGTTTAAAAAAACCTGTGTGGGTAATGAGTTTCAGATGCATAAGACCTATCTATATGTTTAATGACTATTTAACTTTTCCTTTATTGCTTCAAGTACACGAGGTTAGAACATTATGTTTCATAACAGTCGTACTACTTATATTAGAATCACAAGGGAATTTCTGTTATAAAGGCAAGTTCCCGAGCCCGACTCAATTCCCAGATCACTGCTGCTGGGGCCCAGAAGCCTGCACTTTGGGCACGTAGGTTTACGAAGCAATTCTCAGGCACCCTGGAAGCATTAGGTACACTGGTTTAGCGCTTTACCAAGTCATTACAGCTTTTGTGTTTAGACATTAATGATAAGACTGGTTTTATTGTCGAGTCGTTCAAGTACGAAATAGTTGGGAGACAATGAGTAGAAACAAGAGATCATGACAGGAATAACAGTCAGGCACAGGCAGCAGGTGAGACTGGAAGTGTGCTAAGCAGTGATGACGCTGGTTGGCACCATGTCGTCAGGTTAGGGTCAGAGTCCCCCTGACTGAAATTAACTGTAGTGTGACTACATACTAACCACAGACTTGGGCTAACAGGGATGGCTCCTATCTCAAAAAGTTGTGCTGCCAGTTAACTGAGTATACAAATACAGGTGTTTGGGGCTCAAAATATGGCAGTAATCTTATCTGCACAACTTCTCCCATTCTTGAACACTTAGTACTTACCTTGATAAGGGTCACAATTCCTTCATTAGTCTGAGTATCAGTTTCTATGCGGAAATAACCCATTTCATTTCCTGATGCAAATGTAAAGTTTGCTAACCAATTATCAGAGCCTACTTCATCTGCATCAAACACTTTTATGCGCATAACTTCTATATTGGCTTGATTTTCTTCAACTATCCCTTCAAGCTGCAAAACATGAACACAGGATATTTATTTTAATGTAACACACATTTAAATGATATATATTTAGATAAAAGTAAAATATGAATAAGTAGATACATTAGTCATAAAAATAATACTTACCATTTCACCTTTCACTTCAGGTAAATTGTCATTGACATCCAAAATACGAATCTGAACTTGAGCTTGTTTTGCTGGTCTATCTGTTATTTGTCCATTACCGTCTCTTGCTTCTACTGTCAGAGTATAGCTGCTATGTTTCTGCAGGGCGATAAAAAATACCCAACTGGGGTGAAAATAAATCGCTCCCAAATCTGTCTTTCCAGCTTACTGTATCGTCAACGAAATAAACAACAGAATTTATTCATAAATAATTGTCATGACCTGCTATTATTTGTGTGAAGATGTCTATTTGCTCTCAGATCTTTTTTAGAAGGGCAGAAAAGCCTGGAGCAGTTGTTGACAGTCAGATTCTTGAGTATGTCCTTGGTGGTATAAGTCAAATTCTTAAATAGTCATTAGTGATATTATCAGGACATGAGTCTCTCCTTAAAACAGTCTGTACCCAAGACTGCTGTTCAAAACGTAGTTTGTTCCACCTTGGAGGTGATGGTGGGGCCACAGGAAATTTTTGCCTTACAATTCATTTTCAACTAATAGTTCAGCAAAGGTGCCCTGTACCCCAAAACACTTGTCCAGACTTCCAGAAAGAGAGGATTCTAAGTCAGCGTGTCCTAGAGAACGATATCTCAGATGTTACGACAAAGGGAACCCTTCTCTTCCATGTGGTCCCCTGATGGCTCTTCACTCAGTGTGGGGGGATGCAGTTTAAGGAAGAGCAGAGCGGCCGGCGCCAGCGTGCGGGTCTGCCGTGCGGGCAGAACTACGCAGGGAAAGGCAGGCAGGACGGCAGAGGCTCCGGACCCAGCTGCCTGAGCTCCCGTTCTGGCTGTGCCACTTACTAGCTGTGCTGGATGCACTGACTCCCTCTGACCCTCGGTTTCCTTCTGCATAAAATGAGGATAACATATGCTTCTGCCTCACGGGGTTTCCTGGGGGATGGGATGGGTTCATCTATGTCAACGCCCAGTAAGTCTAAACTTTCCACACTTCAAAAATAGCAGCCTATGGAAAAAAACCCACACGACTTCAAAATACCACTTTGTCCATTCTAATGTCATGTCCAAAGGTATGGAGTAGAGTTTTAAATGCAATAAAATTCTTTAATTTTACAAAGATCTTGATAGGAAAGCGGGGCACAACCCTCTCCCTCGCTGGGCAGAGTGAAATCATTTTTCCAAGGAATACAAAATACACTGACTGCACTTGGCTGGTGATTTATGTCTGATGACAGCACAGTGTTCTTAGGATCGTCATGCACGTTGTTAAAATCTTTGTAAAGTATTTTGTGAAGTACTTTACAAAGGAATTTGTGAAGTATGTAGCATTACAAAGTAAAAAATTGGAAAGTATGTAGCATTTGTAAAAACCTCTATCTCCCTTTTTTCTTCTATAAGTTTCCCTCTGAGTTAGAAATAAAAATGAGAAATGTTTGACAGAACAGCCTTTAAGCAAGAGTGTCCAACCTGCGGCCCAGGCTGGCTCTGAATGCGGCCCAACACAAAACCGTAAGTTTACTGAAAACATTATGAGCTTTTTTGCGATTATGTGTCACAATGTATTTAATGGGTGGCCCAAGACAACTAACTCTTCATCTTTCAGTGTGGCCCGGAGTCGCCAAAAGGCTGGACACTCCTGCTAGGAAACCTACTCAAAGTTTCCTCCAGTTTGGGATTTACAATAATTTCTTCCTTTACAAACAGTTCTGTTACCCAAACAGGGCTGCTGTTTGCACTTCTGGCCTTCCGCGGCACGCCCATTACCAGCAGAAGAGACTCCTGGTGTTCCGCCACAGAAGCACAGGTCAGAACTCTCTAGCAAACAGAATCCTGCCTGAAGGGGCCCCACAACAGTCCGGTCCTTACAGAATTTTAGATTTTCTAGCAGCCGCATTTAAAAAAGTAACAAGAAACTGGTCAGGTTTTAAATAACATATTTTAAAAATATGTTATTTAACTCACAGTATTCCAAATATTACTTCAACATATAATCCATAAAAATTGTTAAGACAGCATTTTACATTCTTTCTTTTCATACTAAGCCTTCCCAATCCGCTATATTTTACATTTATAGCACATCTCAGTTTGGACTAGTCACATTTCAGGTGTTCGATGGCCACAAATGACTGGTGGCTGCCGCAGTGGACAGCACATCCCTAGAAGGAGATAATTCCGAGAGTTATCGCATCTCGGGAATGAGAAATACACAACAAAGTAGGAAAAGCTGAAAAAGAAATAGAAGACAGCCTGAAAGAATAAAGGAGAGTTTAAAAGATGAGCATCATAAAATATTAATTTACCTCTCTGTCCAAGGTAATAGTGGTTGTATAAACTTCTCCTGTATCTTTATTTAGGTAGAACACCGGAGAACCAGCAGGCTCCTGAGATACGATTCTGTAGGAGATTTTAGAGTTCAGAGAGCTGGGGTCATCCGCATCTGTTGCCGTGACCTTCATCACGAGTGTATCTGGTGTTAGAAACAAAGGCATCCAAAATGAAACTCATGTTATTTTCCATATCATTTCAGCTTGTTGCAAAAAAGGATTTCAGGTGCTTATCAAAATCACAGTTTACCAGTATCGAAAAGTTGAATGGATGAGGAAATGAGTGCAAACGGATTACAGGGGTGGGAAAAACAAGATGAGGGCAGAGCCAAGGTTAATGCAAGGTTAGGGTGAAGTCCTGAACACTTGCTACAGGAGAGCCACAAGTGGTTATAATAACGAATACAAAAAAAAAGAACAAACAGATACAAATAAGTGCTTACTAACATATCCACAGTTCAGCAGAAGCACAGCTATTCTTTACACTATGATCAAGAGGAATCCCTCCTGCTAGTGTTCATGTAGAACACTGTGTTGAATATTGTCACTGAACCTGACAGTAGAAATAATAGAAGTCGAATGCCAGCAAAGTATTGCCAGTGGGCCAAGGCCAGCTAGCCACCACATCTGTACTCAGAGTAAAAAAAGTCACGTGAATTGTTTTGAACTTATCACACACACACAAAAATTCCAAACCTAGAGAAACAGGCTTTTTGCCCTGTGCTTCCTGATTCTCAGCCTCCACCCAGATACAGGATTCATGTTCAGTTACATCAGGGGGTGACATGGCTCTGGGTGACATTTATAAAAACAGCGGACTCTTACGTGCTACACTCAGCTCTTCCACAGACCCAACAAAGACGTCCTGCGTGAACACCGGCTCGTTGTCATTGATGTCGAGAACTTTAATGCGGAGTTCCAATGGTTTCTCTAGATTGTTTCCTTCTTTATCCAAAGCATAACCAGTTAGCTGAAATCAGGGCATAAATAACAGAAGAGGTCAGATTTAAGCTAAGGTAATTAACCTACCATAGTATCAAAAATTAGGAAGACAAATGATGACTGTTACCAAAGAAAAACTATAAACGAATAAATACAAAATTGTTCTTCTTACCAGAAAAAATGGTGTTTCTTCTCGGTCGAGAATGCTGGTAACATTCAATTCTCCAGTGTCTTTATTAAAGGCAAAGATACCAAAAGGTGGCTCTGTGATGCCTTTTCCAGTGTATCTGTATGTGATTTTGATTCCCTTTTCTTCTGCAATATCAGAATGTATCTAACATAAAAACAACAGGAATGGCTCAAGTTAAACTTGATAAGTAACATGCGGATATTTAAAAATAAGATTTCTTTCTGAAGCTGTCACGTTGACAGGAGGGAGCTGGGAAAACACAAGCGCTCAGGGGCAGACATGCGGGTGAAAGAGAACCTTGGTTCTAACCCCGTCTCAGCCGCTCCCGGGCCAGATGATTCGAAGACAGTCCCCTCAGCCTCTCTGTGCCTCAGTGTTCTAGTCTGTGAAGTGGAGATCCTATTGCCTGCTTCTTAGAGTTGCTGTAAAGTTAAGATATTCTTAGGGATACATCTTTGGGAGGAAGGGCTTAGATTTTAAATTTAGCACACAAGGTGAAAAAAGACCTTCATACATCCACTTGATCCTCTGAAGAAGGCACACTTCCACAGGAGGAAACCAGTTCCTCCCTTTCCTCCTTCAGACATCACTGAACCCGTCACACCCACCTGCCTGGTCAGTTCTTTGTCCTGAAACGTCGGGATTACACTTTCTGCCCATAGGCTTCCCAACATGCACTGGGGCTGGGAGGTCGCTGCTGAGAACGGCCCAGGGAAGAGCAGATGGGGTTCCTAACCTGGTACACCAGCTCTGCTCTTGGACTGAAAAGGTGAGCAGAGCAGTTTCTGGGGTACTTTTCACTGGACTTCTGTTTTCTGTCCATCTACCTGTTTGTCTTTCTCTATCTTTGTGCTTCGTTTTTTTGCCAAGCATGCATACACACACACACACACACACACACACACACACACACACTATAAAGAATATTCTAGATCTTTATGTACTGATTATATGTTGCTGGAAAATGGAAATGGTTGTTTTCTAGCTACGTTGCTGCTCTTTCTTTGAGGGAACTCTTCACGTATGACGTTTATCACATTGGGAAGAGGAAGTAAAACTTGGATATGACTGTGCCACAAACCAAGCTGACACAGGGACAGGACAGAGAGAGATGGGTGAGGCAGGGAAGGGAACTCAGGAGGTGACACTGGGGCAGAGGCTGGAAGCAAAGAGATCTGGCAAATACCTGTGGGAGGGGATTCGGAGCAGAGGGAGCAGCAAGGGCAAACCGGGAGGGCTGGAACGAGATTATACATCAGCTAGGAATGCAGCAGGGTGGCGGGTGGGGGCTGCAGAGGCGGAGGCCTGAGAGGAGGAAGTCAAGGCCAACAAAGCCCAAGAGCTCGGTAGGCTGCGGTAAAGAGTTGATTCCTTCCTGGGCAGCAGGACGTTGTTAGAAGGGTCTCACTAAGAGGGTGAATGAACAGGCTTTGATTTATCTTTTCCAGTGATCACTCTGGCTCCTGTGGGGAGGATGAGCTATGGCAGAGTGGGGCTGGGGTGGGGGTGGCAAGAGTGACAGCTCAGACACAAGGTCAGGGCCTTTTGGCTACACAGGTCAGAGATGATGCTGACTTGATTAGAAGGTGGCAGTGGAGAGAAGCAGGCAGACCTGTAACGTATTTTGGGGGTAAAATGGATAATACTCGCTATATTTTTGAAAAACTAGATGGAATTACAGTGCCATTTACTGAAATGGGTAGAATTTATGGAGAACGCCTATAGGGGAAAAATCCAAGGTTTAGGTCTGCACATGAGATACCACCATATAATTGACAAAAATAGGACCCTCTGAGAGTGCAAAAAGAATGATCAGTTATTAAGCCAGGACAACGGGCCTAAATCAAGACCATCTCAAGTGGGATATGTGGTCGCCCTACCCATCAGGTATCAGTTCTTTTCATTCTGAAGATGACTTTTTATGGGCAGAATACGCTGCATCCACACACGGCACTCTGGTGCAGGTTTGTTTTCAGGTGAAGGTAACTGAGAAGCAGCAGATATAAAAAAAAGTTCTCTGCCCTCCCCCGCTTCGTCTAAAAGCAGGATGTAAATTTGTAAAGGTGGTCTCCCTCCCTTCTCCACCAAGAAGGACAAAGCTAATCATCACCAGCTTTAGACCCTTATCAGTTTGGAGATGGTAGAAGAAATCCACATAACAAACTGATCTCACTAGCCTTTTTCTACCATTAGTTTCCATGTATCTGCCTTTCCACAATTTGCTGCCTCTACAAATGAAAGGTCCTTTTTCTTTGCCTGTTATTTCCCTAAAAATGCATCGCTCCTTTCCTAAGATGCTGCATAAGCCCAAATTCTAACCAAACCTTTGAGTCACTTATCTCTGGATACTCCCACGGGCTACATGCATAATATACATGTTAATAAACTTGTTTTTTCCCCTCTTGTTAATATTTTGTCAGTTCAATAGGGTCCCAGTCAAAATGTGGGAAGATACAGGAAAAAGAACTTTCCATCCCCTTCATATGAGAGTATCTTCTTTTGGTTATGGTAACATTTTGTTGCACAAAAATCCAGCTGGTGCCAGATCCCTTAACTCTTCGTTGAATCAAAGCCCCAAATTATATACATCCTCACCAGTGATGTTGCATCTTAAAAAATGGGAAGGAAGATCTTAACATTGAAAGTTTTCTGCTAAAAATTAACCTTTGCTAGCTTTTAACTACATCTGCAATATACAGGGTTTGCTTGGGTGTGGTTGGTAGGGTACGTGAATATCCTGCCCGAGATGGACAGCAATTTGGGCATTTCACCTAAAATGTCATATGGTGTGCTTGAGTGTGATATTGTTATGTTACAGAATTATATGCTTATGATTTTGTAATCAAAGAGTTTGCAATAAAGGGTTGTGCCATGTCCTGTGTGTATGTGTACTTATCACACTGTAATTATCCTTAAATTTAAAAGTGAACATAAAAGCCTTCTCCCACCACATATTAGTAATATGCATATATTTTTTGTTCCTCTTGAGGAGGTACCTTGGCAATTGGATTCTTCCTGGACAGATCCTCTCCTTCCCGAAGAGCCACCGGCGCGGTGATCCAGGCTCGCTTTTGCCGCACTAAGTGGGTGTGTTTAGGAAGCAGCTTATTTTCCTGTCCTGTGTTTAAGGCCTACAATGATAGAATATTGCCATAAAAATGATTAAGTACTCTAAGACATTAGTATGGTATCCTGTAATTTACCAAAACTCTAAAGATAGCTGTGCAAAGTTCAAGGTATTAATTTCACATTTCTTAACAGGCTTCATTTTCAAAGAGGCAATGTACACACTCCGGCACATTCTGTAGGAGTTCAGCAGGCTGTCTCCAAACCAGTATCTTGTCAGGGCTTGGTTTCTGTCAGTAAGAAAAGACTCTCCCAGACTGAAGAGTTTAAAAGTTAAAGAATAATTTAGTGACCATACAAATGAACGAATTAAAATTCAGATAAGAATTCTTTTCTTACCAGCTGAAAATAAAGTCCAATTTTTCTGTGGTGGCTTGTATTTTAAAAGTGAATTACTAAATGTTCTAAGACTAAGTCTTAGTAACTTAATGATATCAATTTGACTAAAACTGCTGAAAATGTCAGTTAATAAATTTATCGTCTTTTTTAAAAAAGATTTTATTTATTTATTTTTAGAAAAAGGGTAAGGGAAGGAGAAAGACAAGGAGAGAAACATCAATGTGATGTTTGTGATGGTTGCCTCTCATGCATCCCCCACTGGGGATCTGGCCTGCAACCCAGGCTTGTGCCCTGACTAGGAATTGAACCAGTGACCTCTTGGTTCATAGGCTGGCACTGAATCCACTGAGCCACCCCAGCAAGGGCTGAATTTATTGTTTTGATGATGGGGCAAAGGATTAAATTGCCCATCTTCAGTTTTTAGAAACTTTAAGTGGAAAATGATTCTATAAATTTTCAATTTGGTTTTAATAGATAATATATATCTTATCCAAAGAAAATTTCTACACATCTGACCTAGTACTGTGAGATAAGAAATGCTTATTCTACAAAGTTTATCATTTTACTCATTTTATAGCTCTCTGTACCATGTATTTTATTTAGAGATATTTACATTGGTCATCACTAGGTCATTGATTTTATTCTTTGTTTTTAGTCGAAAGATTATTCTATAACGAAAAAAACTAAATCAGGTAACAAGACATCAAGTAACATTAAAGTTTATAATGTAAAACTTCCTTCTACATTTTCATACTTCAGAGTATTCACCGTTAACAACCTGACAAATGAATATCTTTTATGATCTTTCTCATGACTGTATAGCAGTTGTACGTGTATAAAGGTCTTTTTCCTATAAAAACAGAATATGCCATACTTCTCATTCTGCTCCTCGATTTTTCATTCAGCACCTTCTCACAGACATTCTTGTACCATAAATTGTTACGTCATTCTCTTATCAGTGGACAGACTGCTCCCAAACGGTGCACTAACATTTCTGGATGTGTGTTCCTGCGCATTTGTTTGAGTGGGAAGATCTGGGTTTAGGGGTGTGTGCGTTTCTCATCTGGCTGAGGCGCCGCCTCATTGTCTTCCACGAAATGAAGCCTGGGTTCAAAAGACAGAAGTAATTCCCCTGGTTCCTTACCTCTAAATGGAGTGCATTTCCAAAGCAAAAGCAGATCTGAAAAATAAAATTATTTATTGTTAAGTACGATTTACCACTCATTTCAGTTTAAGTATTTTGACAATGAATAACCTAAGATAGTACAGATGTTAAAAACAACAAAGGAAAGGTTTAACCACTACCATTCTCCTTTGTCCAGAGGAAACAAATCTTAAATTTCCCCCTTGCCTCCTTGCTGTGACCAGGGCTAATGAGAGGACTCTGCACTCTTTTGGATTCATAATGCCTTCAACGGGGAACTTGGAACATAAACAGTATCTGAAAACCACAACGCGAAACTCTCCTGTTGAAATCTTGGCCAATCCCTCATACTTTTCTCTTTACCTTGCGGTTTTCATCTCATGTTCTGGGAGAACCCACTTACCTTTCCCCAAGGTCTTTACTGTGAGATGCCTCCCGCCACCCCGGGGCCCGTCACCCCTATGGGTCATACCCACGACTACTCACATCCAGACTTCATTCTTCACCATCCTAGGTCCCACCAACTCGTTCCTTTGGTTCTTATCAAGCACTGTCACATTCTGAACTTCATCATTATACAGAACTACATATAGTTCTGTTTATTCCAAAATCTGTATAATACCCCTATCCTGCCTTTTGACTTTTGCTTCACTTTTCTCTTGGCTTAACCCAAACCAGCACTTTCTAATGCGGAGGCTGCAAATAGCTATTTACACTTACACTTAAATTATTTGTAACAAAAAATTCATTTGCTCAATAGCCACAGGAGGTAAGTGGCTCGAGACATTGCAGACGCCCATCACTGCAGACGATGCCAGTGCACCATGCTGGGATCAGATTATCGCCAGCCATTTAAAGACATTCTCGGTCACTCAAAGATCACTCATTCTCTCCACTTTCTAACACTCCTGCCTCAGTTTCCCCCAACTTTGTATGCCTCACTACTCATTATTCTCTTTGATTATGACCCTGTGCTGGCAACACAGCCTGAGAGGGCCCCTTGGCTGACTGGATTTGTCACTGCCCACGCTCTTCAATAGCGGCTCCCTCCATAGGGTTGGTGTGGGTTTCTAGGGAGACCATACGTTTCCACTTTCCCAGGAGAATCCGGGTGATACTTGAGGTGCAGGCACATCCTCTGTTAGCAAACCTCTTATTCTCAAAAGTGTGCTCACTAACACCATAAATCACACAACTGTCTTATCTTTGTCTCTTATTGCAACCCTATCATACATACTATTCCAAACTTCCCAACTGCACCTAAACCTAATTACCTCCCAAAGGCCCCACCTCCAAATTAAGATTTAAGGAATCTACATATGAATTTGGAGAGAACACAAACATTTAGTCCATAGCAGTGTATAACTGAATTTTGGCCAATGAGATTATCAGGGGACCCTGGAAAAAAACATCCTCGTTGATAAGAAGAGAAGCGTATGCAAAGCTCCTCTCCATCTGCTCTGGACACTGTTCAGCAAGGATGCGCCTTTGGGAATGGCTACAGCCATCTGTGACCACGAGGACAAAGCTAATAAAATGGCAGAGGAGCCAAACTGACGCTAGAACATCTCTGAGTTGCAGAAGTGGTTAAATCTGGAGCCACCCCACTTCTGATCCATTTCTTCAGATATTCAATATTCCTTTTATTTAATCCACTTTTAGTTGGGTTTTGTTACTTATATTTGAGAGCGACTTAGCTGATATGTCCACTTGGCATGGTTATCACGCAAATTAAAAGGCTCTTAGAAGAGGGTGTATCTGCAGAGACCTGAATGGAAAGGGAGAGCAAGTCAGAGAGCCCCGGGAAGGGAACAGCCAGGCCATGGAGTGGGGACGATTGAGGGTTGATCAAGGTTGGTGCTGACAGAGGAAAGTGAGTCAATGGCACGGCGTTTGGGGTGCCGGTAATCTTGTTTCTTTATCTAGTTGCTGGTTATGGGGTGCTTAGTTTGTTAAAGTCCAGTAATTCAGCACACTTGTGATATGTGTACTTTTCTGTATGTTATACTAAAAAGTTACAAAAATCTGTGTGCACCTTAAGGCTGAGGGCGTCTTGGAATCTACATAATGGTGCTGCTATTTGTTTTCCTAAAGCCTCCTGTAGGGTTGCTGTAAATGAGCTTCAGGCATTGGAAGGATGGTTGGACAAGATAATCACTAGGGTTTTCCCAAGTATGAAATCTGTAGCTCTTTTTTTTTCTCACAAGGAAGTTGGTGATAGAAAACTTCATCGGCAACACCACTTTAAGACTGAACAGGCAAAGTAAGCTTTTAGTCTCTGTATCCAAAGACTGGAAGATGGACTAGATAAATCCTTCAAAAAGCATTCCCAATTTACCAAAGTTTTAAAAATTAAAAAAAAAAAATTCTACCCTTGAATCCTATGCATCTTGTAACCACTGGCCTTCCTGGTACCTGGCAAGAAAACAATTTGGTTTTGGAGGAGGCATGAGGGAAGGTCAAGGGCACTGCAAAAATACAATCCGTCAATGCACTCTTTGTGCTCAAGGTCAGCACCTTTAATAATTACTTCCTGTTCTGAAGTCACCTAGACGTGTTTAAAAAGCAGAATCCAAGAGGTCATAGGAGGCAGTGGATGACAGCTCCTCCCGGCTGATATGTCCTTGAGGAGAGTCTACAAAATTTCTTATTTTACGCTTAATGCTGTAACTTACTTAGAAAGTCTCAACTTAAAAATTCCACCTTGTAGATGACTCACACACAGGTATGATTCACACATAGAGATGCCATACTCAACAGCCAAATTAAACAAATACACTTTTGTTTTCACAGCTGCTACTTTAGAAAAAAAAATTCAGCCAAGTAAAGCAGCATTTCGAAGTTTGTTTTGAACTCTGAACTTGAAGTTTAGATGGCAAAACTACATACTTTCTAGTCTGACTGCAATACATTACATGATTTATCAAAATCTTTCACCCGCTCTTCAGATGTCTGGGCTAATCTTTTTTTTTAAACTTAATTATTGCTCAATTAATTGCTTAGATTTAAAGAGGAAGATATTTTCTTTGAAAGCATTTATTGCCTCAGTGAATTTTAAAATACGGACTTAGCATTGCTGTGCTACAGATGAGTAGTTAGATCACGTACTTCTAACTTCAGGTTGAGTTTTGTGCAATCATGGACAGCTTCTACTTTGTCCTTTGGTAGAAGAAACAAAGAAAAATAAACTAAAGGCCTGGAAAAGTCAACATTACTTTATTCAGTGTCGATTTCTTTGGCCCCTACAACATTTTTTAAAAATCAGATAAGTAGTTATTGGACTTCTAACAAAGAGTTAAAAGTAAGCTTTTCAATATCAAATCTTCCTTTCTACTCCCAAGTAATTTCTAATAAGGGCGTTAACAGAGGTGCTCAAGCTTAAGCGACATTAGAGTCATCTGCTTAAAACCCAGGTTGCTGGCCTGACCTGAGAGTTTCTGACTCAGCAAGTCTGGGGTGGCGCAGAAGCAGCTGTATTTCTAACAGGTTTCCTGCTGCTGCTGGCCCGGGATCACTTCTGAAAACCGGTGTGTAAAGTCACAGAGTGGCAAAGGAAAGGAAGGGAAGAAGAGAGAGTGGCTAATTCACAAACTGAATAAGGAACACTTAATCAGAGAAATGCGTGAAACAGTGGACTCTATCTAGATCAGGAAATCCAGTAACTGAGTTATTCCCAACCATTACAAGATTTTCCTACCTTACCAATGAAAATCAACTATAGCAGAATTGCTTTAAATAGTGTTTTCACTTGGTTCATATTGCTTTTTCTAGCTTGTTTTACGTGATCCTGAGCATTAAAAAGATTTTTTTTAACTTATTGATTTTGGGGGCAGGCATCAGTTTTGTCGTTCCACTTATTCATGCATTCATTGGCTGCTTCTTATATGTGCCCTGACTGGGGATTGAACCCCCAACCTTGGCATATCTGGATAACACTCTAACCTACTGAGCTACCCCACCAGGGCTGATCCAGAGCATTTTGGGGGGAAACATTTTACCATATTATTAGTATGGGGTTTTTTTGAACTCAGGAAAAATGTAAGTAAATCTCTATAAATCATCTCATACAATTTGATAGATAAAAGTGATAGGCTGTTTCCACATTTTTGCTGCAATATACTCCTGAAAATTATACTAAAAAAAAGCATGAAGAAAAACAGATTGACTCCCCCACTCCACCCGATTTAAGAAACTGAGAGCTTTGGGTTGTCCTCTTTCACCATTAGATGGCGCTGGTTTGTCAAGAAGGCAAACTCCGGACCTCCTAGAAACTGGCCAATGGTTGACTCCCAGGTGGACAGTGGAAACAGGCATTTTCAATTGGCCTCAGCCACGTGGGTGACACAATTGAACACAGTGAAGATCGATGGCTTTTTTAAAGCAGCACAAATACTTCTGCAGGACTATGTGAAACCAGACAAATCTTAATTTACACTTCTCTTTTCCTTTCCAGCATTCTAACTTGTAATGAAACTAAACCGACAAGCCAGTCAGTCCCAGAAGCTCAGGCCTCACTGACGACGAACCACAGAAAACTGCTGTAACAGGAGGTCACAGTGGCTGGTGCCTGTGGAGTGACAAGATGCAGGTGCTGTTGGGGGACCTGGGTTCTGTCTGGCTTGGCCCATTAATAACAGTCACTAAATCCAGTAACTGGCACTCAGCGGGTGTGCAAGAAAAAAAAGAAGTCAAGTTCTCTTCCCTGTCCTCTTCCCTCACTGTAAGCTCCCTGAACACGTGACAAGTTCATGAGCACTGAGAAGACTGGTACATAGTAAAAAGGCGCAGTAGTAACTGATGAATGTATTAAAATCAAACAAACATTTATCATTCAATCTATCTGGGCATTCAATATTTCTTGTGAACAATGGAATTCAGATTACGATTCTAGCTTCTCTAAACATAGATACTTTTTAACTCTTAAGTTTTTAAAGAACACTTCTGTGTCCAATAGTTTATATATAAATGGCAGGCAGATCCTGCTCTGAAGCAGCCTAGATTAGTAAGAGACATAAAGTGTACTTATACCACTATGA